CATAACATAAATGTGAGCTAATTTAGTCTGCAAAAAAGCGACCAAAAATTTGAAGAAAAAAACAAATTCTTTCTCATTTCTCAATCCTAATATTAAAAAAAAAAAAAAAAAACTATATATATTTTCAAAAAAATAAAATAATAAAAATACTAAGGGCACTTAAAAGTAGAAAATAATTTACTTTAAAATTTCTTAAAATCCATTACACAATGAGGTATGTGTAGAAGGATTGTAAGATGCTCTATGAAGCCAAAGTATCTCAATTAAATGTAGAAGAAACTTAAATATGTTGTTTGTGTGTGTGTGTTTCGCCCTAGCATTTAAAAATATTTCTGCATTGACTTTCTTTGCGTAATAATTTTTGTAAAAAGCTGAAAGAAAGTTATTTTCTACATTTTAGTGCGCCTAAACTCGTCTTCAGAAGAAAGAAATTTACTTTTTAAAAAAGTGTTATTAATGTTGGGACACTTTCTACATTTTTAGTATACCGCTAATTAGTATATCCACATACACTTTAGTTTTTTGGTTTTTTGCATTTAATTTTTTTTAAAAATCAATAAATGTTTACAAATACATAAGTTAGGACCATTACTTGAGTGTGAATGGACCAGAGTTTGACCAGAGCTGAAAACGATGATAATTTCCTTTTAGGGGCAACTAAACGAGGGGCGATTTCCTCTTTGAATGTTGCTGAAGTTACTGCTCGGCTCGGCATTGTGGTCTAGAGACACAGCTCATTACTCATTCATAACACTAAAAAGTAGAATTTCTCAACTGCTTGACGTCTGATGATAATAAAAGTGTCTAATGGACGAAATGCCCCCCGCCCCAGCACCTTTCTCCATCCCCTCCCTTTCCATAAATCTCAAAGCTGGGACCGATGGTTACTCTCAGCCGTAAGCGGCGCGGGTTGGGTTCTTTTCAATCACCTTTTCCTACAATTCCCCATCGCTCACCAACCCGACCGCCCCCCCCCACCCGTATCACGTCATCTTGACAATGACATCATCATCACAATCTGTCCCCCCCCCGCCCCAAAAACCTACACCTCCTTTCTCACCCCCCCTGCATATCTGCCCACCCCCACCCCACACGCACACCCTCAACCCACTTCAACCGTGTCTCCACTGATTACGTGACAGTTATTTTTTTTCCTGCTCCCTTTAAGTATCTCCAGTGAGGCTGAAAAGGTCGCGCATTCAATAGGATGTCTGCCCGTAAAGACCAGAAAGACGAATGGATAGAGCGAGTCGGCGTAACAAAGAACGAATGTTGGAATCTCCTATGCCGTGACATGGCGTACCCAATGGGTGGAACACCCCCCCCCCCCCCCCCCCCCCCAAACGTCAATGATGACAAGTGAGCTCTGCTTTTCTTTCAACGAAGACTGACTCTGTGGCGTTCCCACTGGTTGTCAACAAACAAAATACGTCTCTGGTGTGTGACGTGTGCTGTGGCGTTCCCATTGGTTGTCAAAGCAAATGAAGTCTCTGGTCTCTGAGGCTTTCCCACTGGTTGTCAAAGGGAAATGACGTCTCTGTGGCGCTCACACTTGTTGTCAAAAGAAATGACGTCTCTGTAGTGTTCCCACTGGTTATCAAAGAAAATGACGTCTCTGAGGCTTTCCCACAGGTTGTCAAAGGAAATGACGTCTTTAACACACACAAAAAAAGGTGATTTTGGATCTTGATTTGTGTTAATAATTCAAGGGATGAGTTCAAGCTGCGTAAAGGAAATAGTAGGACAAGGATTGGTGGGGGGAGGGGGGGCTTGCATCACATGACAGGACAGTAAGATGTTAATGTTTGCCCCCATTTCTTGTCTTGCCTGCTGAGGAAGGCTCTTCGCCGAAGCGTACACATCTCATCGTTTCTTTCTCGTAAATCAAGCTTCCTCACACCTTGCTCTTCTATATATATCTTTGATTTGTGTTGCAGTGCGTGGCACCAAAGTTTGAATCAAACTAAAGGGGCATGCGACAGTGCTCTGTCATAGTTTGACGCGAGTCAGTTAGTTCATGTCACTTATGACCAGGGCCGGCCTGAGGCCACTTCAACCTATGCGGCCGCAGTGGGCCCCGCACATTATTTTCTAATTCAAAATCTTAATTTTCACTTATTATCCTTATCACTACCCAGACTGGGCCCCGCGCAATCTGTTTAGCATAGGGCCCGGCAATTGTCAGGGCCGGCCCTGTTTATGACCAACTGATAAAGTTGCCGCTACTCACAATCTGTTTAGCATAGGGCCCCGCAATTGTCAGGGCCGGCCCTGCTTATGACCAACTGATAAAGTTGCCGCTACTCACAATCTGTTTAGCATAGGGCCCGGCAATTGTCAGGGCCGGTCCTGCTTATGACCAACTGATAAAGTTGCCGCTACTCACAATCTGTTTAGCATATGGCCCCGCAATTGTCAGGGCCGGCCCTGCTTATGACCAACTGATAAAGTTGCCACTACTCACAATCTGTTTAGCATAGGGCCCGGCAATTGTGAGGTCCGGCCCTGCTTATGACCAACTGATAAAGTTGCCGCTACTCGCACGCTGTTGTTTTTGGTCCTTCACACGCGAAGATGATTAAGGACATTTTCGACGTGATTAAGTAGCCTCGCGAATGGTGGTGACCTCACTCTCTCACCCTTTTCTATTTGATCCGATCGCGAGACCTGGTCAAGACGAGGTGGAAATTGACCAGGATGCATGTTTAGATCTCAGAGTTTGCCTTCTTTTAGATGAGTTGCCACCCAAGGTTGGGCGAGTCCCACCCACACGGTGTGCTCGCTGGTGTTGTTCCCGCTTGTCTGGGCGCTTCTGGGGATCGAGCTCGAAACCTCTCTCTTGGGACTGACTCAGTTTACACCAGCGGTTCTCAACCTGTGGGTCGCGACCCCTTTGGGGGTCGCACGACACTTTCACAGGGGTCGCCTAAGACCATCTGAAAACACGTATACTCTACAGCTATAAAGTATCAACGAAAATATTTTTGTGGTTGGGGATCGCCACAACACGAGGAACACTATTAAAGGGTCGCGGCTTTAGAAAGGTTGAGAACCACTGGTTTAGACCCTTTTTTTTTTTGGGCCACCCAGCCCCCCCCCCCCTTTTTCGGTTTCTCACCTATAAGGCAGGCGGATACTCAATTGCAGTTCATTGCCAGGTAAATTAAAATTTTGATTTTAACTGCCTAAAATCTAATATATGGTGTGTTTTAATTGTTTAAAAAAATATAAATAGAGAGAAAAGTTCTTTAAGTTTTGTGTTACGTTGCTCCGATGGCAAATGTTGTGATTAAATGATGCTACAACTCCATTTAATTGTTTCGTAATCAAGCATAGAAGCGTTATAATTTTGACAATTTAAAAACAAAAATGTCTTTCTCTCACTTTTGTTAAAAAATATCAAATTGCTAGAGTTACTGCACAAGGAAGATAATCCATTACGTAGAGGCGGCCAGCAAGGTCAGTTCAACCTTTTACTTGCGTGAGAACAACAAGAACAACATGAAGCACAGCCTGACAGCATTAAACAAAAATTATGACGTCACCACACCACAAACAATGTGGCGCGTAAAACGATGCGTAATTAATATTTAGCGTTTTGTCATTTCCAGCACCCCTTTTCTGGCAAATCAGGTCTCCTGGCCAGTAATGTCAGATTTCACGATAAAGCACAAGCGATCTTTGACGCTTAAAGGTTTTCGAAACTTATTTTATTTTAAACGAAATGTATGTCTCACGTTAAACTACTAATAGACTGGGGGAACAATTTGTCATGCATCCATTTGATATCAAGTAGGCCATAATTATATAGGTTGTTTTTTCCTCCTTATCTACGTGGGTTCAAAGTTGTTGCTATCAGTTCCTGGTTACACATGGCGTTAGACCTGACGTTGACCAAACTGCCAAAAATCAGCTGTATGCCTGAAAGAAACACTGATTGGGCAAGGACTTGGCCATTATCCAACGGCAGCCCTTCACAGGAGCTGCAGTGGAAAATGTTGGGTGGTCATTGGTCAAGAAGGCTTGGCATTTTATGCTCTCTCCCGTCATGAGGCTATCGAATTATGAAGATGCCCGATTGCCCCTTTTCTGAACTCATGCGGTTCTCTGCTACTTATCTCCTACTCCAACGACGTGTGCGCCTTAAAGACGTTTGTGGACCGGAGATTCAGCTCCTGCGTGCTTGCCAGAATATGTGGCATACTGGTTAAATATATGACCTACTAATACATTAACAAACCTTCACATTGACCAACTCTCACTTTGGCGAACCTTCACATTGACCAACCTTAGCATTGACAAACCTTTACATTGACCAACCTTAGCATTGACAAACATTCACATTGACCAACCCTAAAATTGACAAACCCTCACATTGACCAACCCTCATATTGACAAACCTTCACATTGACCAAGCCTCACATTGACCAACCCTCACATTGACAAACCTTCACAATGACCAACCCTCACATTGACCAACTTTCAAATTGACCAATCCTCACATTGACCAACCCTCACGTGGACCAAAATTCACATTGACAAACCCTCACATTGACCAACCTTCACATTGACCAACCCTCACATTGACCAACCTTCACATTGACCAACCCTAACATTGACTAACCTTCACATTGACCAACCCTCACATTGACAAACCTTCACATTGACCAACCCTAACATTGACCAACACTCACATTGACCAACCCTCACATTGACCAACCCTCACATTGACAAACCTTCACATTGACCAACCCTCACATTGACCAAACCTCACATTGACCAACCTTCACACCGAAGAAACCCTCACATTGAAAAACCTTTCCATTGACTAACCTTCACATAAACCAACACGCACATTGACCAACCGCACATTGACTAACGCGCACATTGACTAACACGCACATTTACTAACACGCACAATGACTAACACGCACATTGACCAACACGCACATTGACCTCCCTCACATTACCAACCTGTCCAACAGTCGGCACATCAAGAAAAAAACTATTATTTCCACCAACACACACATCAATACACACATTTTACACACACATCCATCCACCCATCCACACACACACACACTCAAACGCACACACCCGTATGAAATATAAACAAAAACCATCGCTATTAACTGACACTTTATTTCTGACTCAACCCCTGACTCTGCCCCTAAATCTGCCCCTGACTCTGCACCTGACTCTGCCCCTGACTCTATTGTTCATTAGGACACCGCCCATAAGCGTTCAGATCGCAGCCCTCTTGACCCCCATCGGTTGTCAGAAACCAGCGGTTCTCCTACTTTTTGCTTGAGGGTGCTTGACACGAGTAGCGCGTAATATTGTCTGGTGTGATGGCGCATGTGCAGTTGGTGTATACCTTGCTATCGATGACGTATGAGAACGTTTCACCAGGGTAACGGCAGACACCGTCGGCATCAGCGCATTCTGGACAAGAAAGAAAAGTCATGACATTATCACGTGTCACTTGGGAGATTCGTAACATTGACATCAGTGGATGCCGAGCAGCAAAGAAAAGTCATGACGAGAACACACGTCACTTGGGAGAATCATAGCATGGAAATTTAGCACAGGATAAATATAACGTTTTCATATGTTATAGAATATTCATTACAGGACAGACGTCAAAGGTTCACCATAACATTGACATATTTCTTGAGATATTCATCTTATTCAATTAAAACCTACCTCTTCTTTCTTATTAGGGTATCCCAGCTCTTCTCTCTCATAATAATTATTATTATTAGCTGTTGTTTTATATAGAGTGCTACCCCAGCCCAGGGCTGGGCTCACCACGCTGTACATACACTTTAACAAACTTAATAATTAACTTAAAAATTAACATACATTAATTAAATAAAACAAAACACATATATATTTACTCCACACATTCAAGTTCTATTTACATGTCAAGCCATGGACGGCTACCCAGCAGCATTGTTTATCGGTCAGAGGGGGGAATCAGTTAGGATAGTAGAGTTTAAAGAGATGTGTTAAAGTGCAGTTTTGAAAGCTGGGATGGTCGGTATATTGCGCATGTGTAATGGAAGAGAATTCCATTGTTTGGGGGTACAGAAAGAGAAAGATCGTTCACAGTATGTTTTTGTGCGAGTCATGGGAACAGAAAGAATACGCGCATCTGCGGAGGAGCGAAGCTGTCCAAGGGGTGAATAGACAGAGAGAAGTTCGATTAGACAGGAAGCGGAGGAATTCGAGAAAAAGTTGTGGCAGAGAACAGAGAGTTTATAGTCAATGCGTGCTTGTATAGGGAGCCATGAAGTGAGTGAAGTGGTGGTGTAACGTGATCACGTTTTTTGCCTTTAGAATTAGCATAGAAGCTGAGTTTTGAACCTCTTGTAATTTTTCTAAGAAATGTTTTGGGGAACCTGATAGAAGAGAGTTGCAATAGTCAAGACGAGAGAGAACAAGAGCACAGACTAGAGTTTTTGTAGCGCTAACTGTGAGGTAGTGGCGTGTGGAGCTGATCTGACGGATAGTGGTGTATGCTGAACGACAAATGTGAGATATGTGTTTATCGAGAGACATGTTGTTAGAAAGAATATAACCAAGATTCCTAGCAGAGTGTGTAAACCGTACGTAAGAGTTACCTACTTGAAATGAAGTATGAAGAGATTAGGTAGAGGATCATGTGTGATTGTGGATGAGGAGTGCTTCCGTTTTGTCATCATTAAGCTTCAACTTGCTGAGTGTCATCCATGTCTTGACATCATCAATGCTCTCTCGCAAAGTCCGGACAGCAGAATCGACAAGAGAGGAATGGGTATGCTTGTATAGCTGATTGTCATCTGCGAATGACTGGCTCTCCACAGTATGCATCCCAAGCAAGAGGAGCAGTGGCCTGGCATACATTGTGAATAGAACCGGGCTCAAAGCGGACCCCTGTGGCACTCCGTACACCAAGTCAGCACTGCCGGAGAGACATCCATCGACAGCGACCGCCTGTGTTACCTCTTCTCTCTTCTTAAGGTTTCCTACCTCTTATATCTTATTAGAGTTTCTTACCTCTTCTCCTCTTATTGGGGTTTCCTAGGTCTTCTCTCTCATTAGGGTATCTTAAATACAATACTAAACTCATCGGCTTCAATAAATAGCAAATCTATCTACTGCGTTGACAACATGTGCTTATTTCACGATGGTTGCCCTTTGTTTGCTCTCCTGTCGATAAAGTCATTACGCCACGCTAGTCTGATTCTACTAATGATACAAATAATTATTGAACTATATTTCTTCTATTCTCTTGTTTGGTTTGAGCCTAAATACTGTTTCACCCATAGGCTGGCCAGGCCCTCAATCACAGAGTTGCCCACACTCACCCATAGGCCGACCGGGCCTCATCACCAGCATTGAGAAGATTCACTATACCGCTAGTCCAGTCTAACTATCAGGCTGACCAGGCCTCATCACCAGCATTTACAAGTTTCACTATACCGCTAGTCCAGTCTAACTATCAGGGCAGCCAGGCCTCATCACCAGCATTTACAAGTTTCACTATACCGCTAGTCCAGTCTAACTATCAGGCCGACCAGGCCTCATCACCAGCATTGACAAGTTTCACTATACCGCTAGTCCAGTCTAACTATCAGGCTGACCCAAAAAACTCGCAATCAGCCTTGACATAGCCTCCCCATCCTAATGGCATAGCCTCCCCATCCTAATGGCATAGCCTCCCCATCCTAATGGCATAGCCTAACCATCAGAATGGCATAGCCTCCCCATCCTAATGGCATAGCCTAACCATCAGAATGGCATAGCCTCCCCATCCTAATGGCATAGCCTAACCATCAGAATGGCATAGCCTCCCCATCCTAATGGCATAGCCTCCCCATCCTAATGGCATAGCCTCCCCATCCTAATGGCATAGCCTCCCCATCCTAATGGCATAGCCTCCCCATCCTAATGGCATAGCCTCCCCATCCTAATGCCATAGCCTCCCAACCTAATGGCATAGTCTAACCATCTTAATGGCATAGCCTACCCATCCTAATGGCATAGTCTAACCATCTTAATGGCATAGCCTACCCAACCTAATGGCATAGCCTAACCATCAGAATGGCAAAGCATCCCCATCCTAATGGCATAGCCTAACCATCAGAATGGCATAGCCTCCCCATCCTAATGGCATAGCCTCACCACCATAATGAAATAGTCTCATCTTCATTATGGCATAGCCTCACCTTCATAATGGCATAGCCTCGCCATCATAACGGCTTGGCCTCATCTTTAGAATAGCTTTAGCGTCCCCATTCGGGCTCTCCCCCCCTCCCTCACGCGTTATCAAGAGCATTGACCTACTTGTAGCTGAGGCTGACGTGGAGTAAGTGGTCACACCATTTTTGACGGACTTGGTGCAGCTCCAGGTTGTGCACGCCTTTTCCCAAGTAGAGTTGACGTCATGACACACAGTGTTGCCATTGTCCACTGTTGAACAGCCTGGTGAGTAAAGAAAATATAATTATGAAACACGGCATTGCTATCCTTCACAGTTGAACAGCCTGGTGAATGCAGACAACACATTGTGGCACACAATCATTGTTCACAAAAATTAGAAGAAAAATTGTTTCATATTTCATAGAACCCTTTCTAAATGTATCTATATTACGTTTCAAGTTCTTTATTCTATCTGTAATCTATCCTATGATTTACTGGGATCTATCCCATGATTTATTGGGATCTATCCCATGATTTACTGGGATCTATCCCATGATTTACTGGGATCTATCCCATCATTTACTGGGATCTATCCCATGATTTACTTGGATTTATCCCATGATTTACTGGGATCTATTTTATGATTTATTGGGATCTATCCCATGATTTATTGGGATCTATCCCATGATTTACTGGGATCTATTTTATGATTAACTGTAATCTATCCCATGCTTTACTGGCATCTATTTTATGATTTACTGGCAACTATTTTATGATTTACTGGAATCTATCCCATGATTTACTGGCATATATTTCATGATTTACTGGGATCTATCCCATGATTTACTGTCATCTATTTTATGATTTACTGGGATCTATCCCATCATTTACTGGCATATATTTCATGATTTACTGGGATCTATCCCATCATTTACTGGGATCTATCCCATCATTTACTGGCATCTATCCCGTGATTTACTGGCATCTATCCGATGATTCGCTGGTCCAATATATATTTATCGCTTGATATACTGACATTTATTCCATCTCCGCCTCATATTTGACCCCTCTCCGCCTCATCTTTGACCCATCTCCACCTCATCTTTGACCTTTACCCACCTCATCATTGACCCATCTCCACCTCATCTTTGACGTACCTTCTTTGTAAAGAGAGAACTGTCCGCTGCTACAAAAGTATTCGATGCATGGTGGGAAGCCCGGAATTTTAAACGGCTGTCCATCTGGGTAGGTGCCACCGTTCACATTGCAAGCTTTTGAAACAAGACACCATACCAATTAATTTGAACTCACGATTTACTATAAGGTAATCCTCAGTGGGACTGGTTTTTTGTTTTGTTTCTTTGTTTCCATGTATGCATGTATGCAAGTATATATGTATGTGTGTATTTTTATTTGAATTTAATCGGATAATTTATAACAAGAAGATAAAATTAAGGATCGCAACAGAATTCGGAGCCTGGTGAACCCTAACATGGAATCCATAGGGCAAAAGAAAGGGAGGGGGGGGGGCTTAGAATAAACGAAGACGCGAGCTGGAGGCAGACATACGAAGCACAGGACACACCTGGAAGAAGCTACATAGGAAATGACAGGACCGTGATGAATGGAAAATTCTTGTGGACTTCCTATGCCCCAGACTGGGTAAAAGGCGTGAGTAAGTAAGAAAGTAAGTATATGTAAGCTCAAAATGTAAGTAAGTACGTGACAAAATTGGACACGTTCAATCGACCCGACCCAAAGATGGCTCCTGAAAACAGTTTGGTCAAGATCCCTTTGTCCCAAGAGCTGGAATTATACAACAGTAAAGTGTGGTGAATAACGTTGAAATAAATAAATATTTTCAAATGCCTTTATGATGCTACGCTATAAAAATGTGTATTAATAATAAGCCTTTATTTAGAGCTTCGAGCTTTCATACATGTAGAGCAGGAATGTTTTTGTTTTGATTGTTTTTTGTTTTTTATGGGGTGGGGGTACTTTTTTTTACAGAAATATATTTAAACAAAGTTTTTAATATAAATCCTTTATTTTATAATTTAATATCCAGCACTTATAAGAACCCCCAAGCCCCCCCCCCCACTACCCCCCCCCAAGACTCGCAAACACACATTTCTTTTCACGCCCTGAACGATATAAATATTTTCATGGAATTTGCGATATTTTGTTTCTAAAGAATCTAATTTAATGTAGTTATCAGGAATATTATTTCGCGAACATCAGTGTCTTCATATCTCCTTCATCTTCCCTTTGAAAAACTTAATTTTAGGGGTTGGAGTTGGGGAGGGGGGTGGGAGGAGGGGGCTGAACATATCAGAATGTTTTGTCATCGGCAACAAGTCCACAAGTCTATGTGCACTATTTCAGCTCGATGGTTTAACGGGAAGTGGATCAGTTAGCCGTCCGAAGATTTTGCCCTCCAGCCAGCCACGAACAAAAGCGAAGTTAATATATAGCACTGCGTATCATAACGGATCTGTCAAAGTTGAATTCGAATGCACAGTAATGCATCAAGCCACTCATGTCTTGATGAAGGATACTCAGTGGACTTATCTTGTAAACTATTTTATATTGCCGTTTTTGTGTGTTTAAGTGCTATTAATGTTTTTTTTACTCCGATTTTGACGTCATCATCTTTGCCAAAAAACAAGTCTTTCTAACTAGGTTGCCACAGCCGTTAACTATTTAGTCTTTGCGTTTAATTTAACAAAGAAGTGTCTAACAGTGGTAAGATATCAATCGAAACAGTGATTATAAATAACAGTGGTACAATACAACCAATGGTGCAATACTTTATATAGTTTAAGGGATACAACAGGTACTGGACAAAAATACAAATAGAGGCAGATACTGGACAAAAATACAAATAGAGATATCTAGTACTTATCCACTCTAAGTATCGAAAAAAAAAACAGTGTTAAACAGCTCGTCAATAAGTGCTACAATATTGAGATAAAACACTGCCATGTTGCAGATATCCTGACATATAGCAAGACACAAAACACTGCAACGCTGTATATGTCCTGACATATAGCAAGAAATAAAATACGCCATGTTGCATATGTCCTGACATATAGCAAGACATAAAATACCGCCATGTTGCATATGTCCTGACATATTGTAAGACATAAAACACTGTCAAGCTGTATATGTCCTGACATATAGCAAGACATAAAATACCGCCATGTTGCATATGTCCTGACATATTGTAAGACATAAAACACTGTCAAGCTGTATATGTCCTGACATAATATAGCAAGACATAAAATACTGCCACGCTGTATATGTCCTGACATATAGCAAGACATAAAATACCGCCATGTTGCACATGTCCTGACATATATCAAGCCGTATGCTCTTCCTTCTTCACTTACATGTCGCGCGTTTGACAATAGTAGCCGTTTCCATGGTTGCTATGAAAGCAGCAGTAACGATTAGTACTTGGAGCAGCTGTGGATGCAGCACGACAGAACGTTAGACTTTAGGAAAATACAGTTTCAAAAATGTAACCATCTAATTAACCCCCATCCAGCATGTGACCACCATCTGATATCCTAATTTACCTGCCATTCACGAATCGACCATCTCATAGACATTGCATTCGCCGCGCGGCCATCAGCTAAGCGCATGTTATTCTCACAAAAAACACGATATCATAAATAAATACGTGGTTTAACACAAATAACAGAAAGTCTAATGTGCTTTTAAAATGTATCTGTTTTTTTGTTTTTTATCCAAAGCTCGGATAAAAATTCTCCAACGCTCTGTTGCAAAAACAAATATATTTTGTATTAACAATTTTTTTTTTGTATTTGTTTTTTCTAAAACTGTTAAATACATTTTACCAATCATTAAAATTAATATAATGCATATTCACAATAAAAGTCTACAAAAAAAATATTCATATTTTTCGATTTCAGTGTAACAAATAAAATCTTAAATTAACATGTTACCATTTTCCTGGTTTTGAAATCAGTGAGAAGCCCTGATTTGGATGTGGATGGCTGGCGGACCCAAACGGCTGACTTGAGAATGTCTCCACCGTAGAAGCGCTTTCACTTTTATAAGGTCTGGACATCGCACGTGAGTCACGATTGCCAAACATGGCGGTAAAATCTGGTATACCTGTGATTCAGAGTGAAAGTGAGACATTCAATTCATGTTCTTATCTTAAATAATACTTTTTTTTAAAAATTCGTTAAAACTGCTCTTTACAGCCATGTTTTCTGTGATATGAAAAACTTGGAGTGGCCATTTTAACCAATTTGCGTAATCCGATCGATAATGTGAAGATTAAGTTTTGTTGGATCTCAAACGACTGGCCGTAAAAAAAAAAAAAAAAAAAATTGTGTTGATATTGTTTAATGGATTTGGTGGAGGTGAACGAGAGTAACTGGATACATTCCTTTCTTTCATGGAACTTGTTTGCGTCGATGAGGCTCATTATTCCTAGGGCTTAAACCTATTTGTCGCTATTTAAGACTTATTTTTTTTCATAGACTCTCATAAGAAACTGTGTTAATTGACGGTGGGACGCTGTAACTTTAAAGTGTTAACAGTTGTCAATGGCGACAAGGCCGTGCCACGTCAGACGTCAAGTCTCGCTTTAAAAAAAAATCTTTACGAGATCAAAAGTTTTGAACAACTGTGTACGTTGCACGTGATTGCAGGATCGTTTACACAGTCCTTACATTGCATGGCATATGTTAACATCAAATGTGTACATGGCATATTTATATGTGGACAAAAATAAGTCCATATATAATATTCTTTATTGATCCAAATAAATAGAAATATATATATTTTTTTAAAATGACATTGTATATATTCATTTTAAGCACATTGATAAATACACATTTTTAACCAAGACAACATTTTACAGTTATAACAATGGAAACAGAAGACATCTAAAGTATTTTTCGCGCTTTCTGTTTGGGACCCATGATTCCCAATAAAACTTATGGGACGCGGTGGATCTGTGTATGTTAGAGTTTTAAGACTGCGAGGCGCACGATAAGATTTAGATGTCTCAGAGTTTCAATCAAGGCGCGAGGTGTACTATACGGTTTAGATGTCTCAGGGTTCCAAGCAAGGGACAAGGCCCATTATAAGGTGTAGACGTCTCCATGGGCGCCCGAAGAAAACTTTTTAGGGGGGGGGGCAAAAAAATCTATTAACTTTCCAGGGGGGGGGGCAAAAAAAATTTTAGTAATGTTTTAATATGGTTTTATTTTACTGTAGCGTATTTGTATGGTGAACGAACGGACAGGACATCAGCTTAGTTACTTTCTCTTTATTTTCTCTTTACTTTAATAAATTTTTGTATATTTTTTTCTAAATTTTTTTTATCCAATCAATCCGTGGGGGGGNNNGGGAAGTGTCCCCCCTTGCCCCTACCTGCGGGTGCCCATAGACGTCTCAGGGTTTCAACAAAACACACACACACATATATAAATTATTAATCATTTATAAAAATTTAAAAAAAAAATAAAAAGATTTATTCATGAAAAGTATTTTTTTTTTTTAAATATGTGACGTTCGCAATTCAAAATAATAGCACCATCAGCTCCAGTCCTTCTCACCCATCCACAAAATCCATTTTATGGTATTTCCAAGAGACTTCAATCTTTGTTGACTGCTGTACTTTTTAAAGCTACGGAAAGCTGTCGAAAACATGTGCACCGTTATTTCATGTCAATCTCACGTACTCTACCGTTGAAAGGGAGAAAATGAGAGATTTAAGAGGAGAAAAAAAAAAAAAACGACTCCTTTGTGCAATGTCGTATTTATGGGATCAGCTCCCCAAAAGAATGCCGCCCGTATTGACCCGAGCTGCACCGCTGTCCGTTCCTCCGGTTGAAAGGTCGATGGAAAAAAAACGATACAGGCCTGTAGTAAACGCTCTCAGCTGTGACTAATCAGATTTGACGCACAGACACACTGTGGACATTTTTGTGTTTATGACTTTATAAAGTTAAATGGATTATGTCCGTTTCGTATCTACGACGCCAAGGCGAACCGAACCGAGCCGGGGAGGCAGCTGGCCACTAAATGAGTACGAGAAACTGATCTCAAGGATATTTGGAGATACATAATTGAGTTTGATAAACCTGGGGGGTGGGGGGGGGTAGGGTGGGGTGTGGGGGAAGTGACCAGTTATGTAGTTTAAATATAGTGTGGTTAAATTTAGAGTAAATGGTGTGGCTAAATGTCATGTATATGTTGTGCGCTTAAATGTTGAGGGGTGAGGGAGATCCATTAACGACGGGGGAGGGGGGGGGTCACATTTGTGTGACGAAAGGGGGAGGGGGGGTTAAGCAATGTGACATCACATTATTAAAAAAAACAACTATTGCACTTCATAACAATAGAATTAGAGCAACTTTTAAATTTATTCTTTTTATACAACAATTATAATTATTTTATTTTTAAATTCCAATCACTGAGAGAATCAGGACAAGTATGCGAGGTCCGAAAAGTGAAGAGCTGGTCACCACAACTCAAAATGTAAGGCGGGATGTAATACTTTACGAAAAGATTGTGCGGGCCGAAATACTTTATGGAAAAATTGTGCGGGCCATAATACTTTATGAAAAAATTGTGCGGGTCAAAATACTTTATGAAAAAATTCTGCGGGCCGAAATACTTTATGAAAAAATTGTGCGGGCCAAAATACTTTATGCAAAAATTGTGCGGGCCTAAATACTTTATGAAAAAATTGTGCGGGCCACAATACTTTATGAAAATATTGTGTGGGCCACAATACTTTATGAAAAAATTGTGCGGGCCGCAATACATTATGAAAAATTGTGCGGGCCGTAATACTTTATAAAAAAATTGTGCGGGTAGCAATACATTATGAAAAAAATTGTGCAGGCCATAATACTTAATGAAAAAATTGTGCGGGCCGTAATACTTTATTAAAAAAATGTGCGGGCCGCAATACATTATGAAAAAATTGTGCGGGCCATAATACTTTATGAAAAATTGTGCGGGCCGAAATACTTAATGAAAAAATTGTGCGGGCCCAAAGATGATAGGACAAAGGGGAGAACTATTAAGAAAATAATAGTAATAAAGAATATTGCGTTTCTTCGCGGGCTGCCAAGTGTATGTTGTGAGGGCCTAGTGTAGAAGAGTGAGGGCAGCATAGGTGGTAGAAGTTTGGGTTCAACATGGCTGGTAGAATAGTGAGGCAATATTGGTGTAGAAGAGTGAGGCAGCATAGGTGTAGAAGAGTGAGGCCAAATAGGTGTAGAAAAGTAAGGCCACATAGGTGTGGAAGAGTGAGGCCACATAGGTGTAGAAGAGTGAGGCCACATAAGTGTAGAAGAGTGAGGCCACATAGGTGTAGAAGAGTGAGGTCACATAGGTGTAGAAGAGTGAGGCAACATAGGTGTAGAAGAGTGAGGCCACATAGGTGTAGAAGATGTGGGTAATATGGCTGAAGACATTTTTTGGAGCCCGAAGCATGAGAGATTTTACCAGCTCCAGCTCCGCTCTAGCTCCGGGCAAGAGACCCAGCTCCATCTATGAGCTCAATTCCAAATCCCTGCGGGGCGTCCATTAATTACGTTAACAAAATGGGGGAGGGTTGGAAATATATGATAGTTGTTGACAAGGGGGAGGGAGGGGGTTTAGATTAGTTGACGTCAACAATCATGTTTTCTCTATTAAAATTTTAATCTTAAAAATTGACTGGTTGTTACATTATTTTTTTTTTTAAATTATAAGTGTAAATGAGTGTAAATTGTTGTATTATTTTTAGGCTTTTAACAATCTAAGATTTATTTGTGTCTGTCTGTGCACTGCAGATGGCTGGTCAGACTGTTAGCACACGTCGTTATTGCAAGAGAAGTCAAAAGTTGGCCTCTCTTCACCTATAGATTCTGTTGCAGGTATGGAACAAGGCTCACGTTTCAAGTTCAGCCAAAATAAATGATATTGATAGAGTAGGAATACGATATTTTTAATATTAGTTGATTGTAAAGTGAGTAACAATAATGACATATCTGCTTGAACGGATTTGCAACATCTGTAACTTCTGTTTAGCATCTAAAGGGTGCTGGGTGGCCGAGTGGTCTAAACTGACTCCCTCCAAAGAGTGGAGTTTAGTCCCCGCCAAAGCCAAAGATCCCAAGCACCCCGGGTGGATGGGACTCGTTAGCCCTGGAAGGCAACTCGTCTAAGAGAAGGCTAAATCTGAAATTAAACCACGATCCAAAATGATCAATAAATTGATCGTGGGCCCTCAGATATTTTTTTTTTTAAAAGTCATGTTGAAAAAGCATTTTCAATGCTGAAAGGAGATGAGAGAGCTTATGGCAATTATTGCTTAAAACGAATATTGCTTCTATCTGAATTCTTAGATGAGGATCAATGCCGCAAGATGAAAAAGATAATACTACTATAGACTATGCCCATCAGGGGAGTCATTTCATGTTGTTTTTTTTTTGTTTGTTTGTTTTTTTTTGGGGGGGGGGGCAAAACCAAAACTTGGTCGGCTTGTTAAGTTGATTTTTTCTGGATGCGCCACAGTACGTAGCAATTTAAATAAAAACCTCCAAATTAGGGGGGTGGGGGCAAATGCCCCCCTGTCCTACCCAAATGATGTCCCTGACGCCCATTGTTACGATAGAGCAAACCTGGCTACTCCTTGGGAAGATGATAACAGCTAGAAACTATGCTATAATTGTCAGCTTTACTGACAATAACTATAGTTATACCGTGAACAATGATATTTAGTCTTTATTAACAACCTTTCAATTGATTCTGGATTATAAAATTTAAGTGTAAAAACTTTTTAACTTGTTGATTAACAAGCTAAGGATGTAATGAAATGTTTTTCCTACAATTTTGTGTCATTAAAATAGATCAGCACAAAGTTAATATGTATTTATAAATTTATTTGTAATATAATTCCATTATTTTTTTATTTTTTTTTAAATTTATTTATTTTTTTAATTTTTTTTTTTTGGGGGGGGGGGGGGTTTAGAAAATGTTGAAAAAATTTAA